CCCACCAGGGCCCTGACCTCCCCTCCACGGAGAGCACAGCTCCCAGCATGCACCACGGCGTCCCCCGGGGCCTGACCCCCCCCACACGGGGAGCACAGCTCCCAGCATGCACCACGTCGCCCCCCAGGGCTGTGACCCCCCCCTCCACGGGGAGCATGGCTCCTAGCAAGCACCACGTCACCCCCCAGGGCTGTGACCCCCTCCCCACAGGCACCACGGCGTCCCCCGGGGCCCTGACCCGCCCCCACACGGGGAGCACAGCTCCCAGCATGCACCACAGCGCCCCCCAGGGCCCTGACACCCCCTCCACAGGGAGCACAGCTCCCAGCATGCACCACGGTGCCCACCAGGGCCCTGACCCCTCCCCCCCTACACCAGGAGCACGGCTCCCAGCATGCACCACAGCGCCTCCCAGGGCTCTGATGCCCCCCTCAGGCTTTCATTGATTTCAAGGCCAGAAGGCACCACTGTGCCTGTCTCGTCTGACCCGTCGGAGACCTGCCCCGAATCCCCCCGGGCAGAGCCCCACAGCCGGCCAGGCGGGACCGTAACGGCCTCAGGGATGGGATCCATGGTCCAAGGGGCCATTCCCCTCCCTAGGCCCCGTCCGACCGGGTCCCGCTCCCCCTCCTGCCCGGGGGCGCATCCCCCCGACCCTCCCAGTGCCCCGTCCGACCAGGTCCCGCTCCCCCTCCTGCCCGGGGGCGCGTCCCCCTGACCCTCCCTGGCCCCGCTGAGCGGCGGGAGCTCCTGGCGGCTCTGGGGCAGGGCTTCGAACCCTCGAATGGTCCTCGGGGCTCTGCTCCGGCCCCTCCCCAGCGTCTCACCAGCCGGACGGAGCACGGGCCGGACGGAGCTCCGGGTGTGGGGCCTCCAGCCCGAGCCCAGAAGGGAGGTCCCCCCCGGTCCTGCTCGAGGCCCCATTTGTGCAGCCCGGGAGGGCGCCAGCCCCTGTGGCACCGCTGGGGGCTCGTGTGCAGCCGGTGCCCCCCAGGCCCCACACCTTCGATCAGCCACTCGCAGTTCCCGTTCACAGAGTAGTTGCCCGGCCCGTCGCTGACGAAGCCCTCGGTGCCCCGTAGCACCTGGCGCTGCCCCTTGCAGTCGCCGGCGCCGGCCCAGCGGGCCCCACTCAGCGCTAGCGCCAGCCCCAGCAGCAGCCCGGGGGTGCGGGAGGGGGGCGGGGCGCTGTCCATCGCTGGCTCAGCGGGGGTCGGGGGGCTCCATGTGCCAACCTGTGCGGGGGAGACGGGGGTCAGGGGCGCGACAGTGCGGTGACCTCCCCGGTCCGGCCGTGGGGCGACTCCCCCCCGCCCACCCCCTGGGCCCTGCCGTGGGGCAACTCCCCCCACGCACCCCCTGGGCCCGGCCGTGGGGCGACTCCCCCCAACCCACCCCACGGGCCCGGCCGTGGGGCGACTC